AAGGGAAGGGAAGGGAAGGGAAGGGAAGGGGATGCCAGGTCAGTTGTTGTCCCTCCCCCTTACATTCGTGTGTTACTGGTCTTGTTGATAATGACCGCCTTCCCAGTTTGGTCAACGTTATGGTCCATGCCGAAGTAAGCAGCCACCCGGTGCAGCAGCATCCTGTGGTACGAGGTCATCTGAGGGAACTTCTTAAACTGATTGCTGAGAAAAGAGGAAAAAGCATCAGAATTTAGAAGGCCTTGAAACGGACAACGATAATCTGACCCACCAAGAGAGATCAAGGCCAGAGATCCCAGATCAGACCCTGTCACCCGCTCCAAGCGGTTGCTCAGGACTCAAGTGCTGCCGCTGACACCGAGTCCGAGCACGGGCTGGCACTGCTTTGCCAGGCAGAGCCGGCCTGATTCAGGGGCTCAGGTTGAACTGGCTTTTCCTGAAACAAGACCAACTTGGGTGGAGATGCACATGTTTCTTTCTAAGCAGGAACAGGAGCCAGAATTGTCACTTTTACTGTGATTTCTCTGATCCTGTTAGAAGCTTGCAAGCTCTGCTGCAGACACTCATTCGATCTCACATTCCGGGATGTTTCTGCCCCTGGTTTCTTCACCCCAAATTTACACCAGGAAGAGAAGCACAATGGCATTTATATCCTTCACAGGGGATATGGTGCTAAAGCAATTAATAGTATATCAATATGAAACTTAGAAATGTTGCGTATGGACAAAAGGAGGTGGAGGATGTAAAAGAAAACAGGTCTCCTAAGCAGCACGTCCAAAAGACACTCCCTTCTCCTCTGAGCTCCTAAACAATGAGATATTTTGCTCGATGCAAAGTTGATGATCACTTACTTGTTATCACTAATAAATTCCAGAATCTCCTGTTCTAACTTGAGTAGCATCATTCTATCCCTGCCAAGAGAAGACAAAGGCCACCATTAGGGACAGTGAAGCACAGCCTCCCTGCTTGGCACCCCCTCCCTGCAACACAGGAAAGTCACAAATACCTGGAGCAAGCAACAAGAACAAGCTTCAAGAACTCCGTGTTTTTTCATAGATAGTACATTAACTGCCAGATTTTTCCCAGCCTAAAGTTGTTGTTTTGCTAACAGCGCTTGGTTTTGGCAATAGTGAATCTCTGCTGGAAGCTCCACTGATAGATTCCAGTTTTGCTATTCTTACGCCAGCATTTGGCTTGATTACATCTATTACTGACACAGCAGCGGTTCCTTTAGAGGTTGGTATTTGACAATCATTTACAGAACGGGGTTTAAAGCAATCAAGATTCTTTCCTGCTTGCATTCAAACAAATTAATTTTCCTTTCTCTCTCTTCATAATACACAATCACATGTTTTGATTGACTGCAGTATAGAAAATTACAGTTGTGCTTTTTGCTTCTACACTGCCCCAGCTCTAGTGACGCTATCTGAATTCCAAAAAGTAAAATACACTTTTAGGTACTTCCTGTATTGCCGTAGTCCCCCCTCCTCCCAAGATACATAAATACATATAGAAATATATACACATGCACACAGAACACCACGGGTTTCCGAGTCAATCAAAGCAGCATTTGCCTCCAGGTACTCCCTCCCTTCACTCCACCAGCACGTTGGTTTACTGACTAGGGACCTACCGTGGGTTTTTTTTCAGTGTATTTACTAAAAATTCATGCAAATCTATTCCAGTGGAGTCTGTATATTCCTGGCTGGAATCTGAAACAACAACAGCAGCAGAACAAATTAACAAAACACCGCAACAGAACAGACTGAAGGGAAGAGGCACGTGTCTCGCTACACACGAGGATGATGTCCCCACGTCACCGCCAGAGGAAATTCAGCCTCATTCTCAGCACCCACTACTCAAACAGGAGGAGAGGAAGAAAAGCCCTCCTTGCTACAGAACTGCACAGCCTGGGACTCATCGCACCTGGGCTCAGGTCCAGCTTCCCAGCACAGGCTCCGAACGCAACTCCCAGTTTCTCAGAGTGTAAAATCAGGGCTGTACACCCTGCCCTGCGCAGGCAAGGCACTACGAGCACCAGGCCCCCGGGAGGAGGAGGCCAGAGAGAGGCAGATCACATCAGTTCATGGATGGAAACCTTGTCCCTAAAACCAGCCACGCAGAGCAGACTCAGGATACCGCACGCTGTCACAGGTGACCCCTGCAGGTGCAGTATCCCCTCCCGTGGTACCAGCAGCTTCTGTAGCTTTGATCCTGCGAGCTATTGAACTGGAAAACCCCAGTGGCTCTGTTTCTGGGTCTCTTTAGTTTGGAGGAGACTGAGGGGTGACCTAATCAATGTTTATAAATATGTAAGGGGTGAGTGTCACGGGGATGGAGCAAGGCTCTTCTCGGCGACAACCGATGGTAGGACGAGGGGTAATGGGTTTAAACTGGAACACAAGAGGTTCCACCTAAATTTGAGAAGAAACTTCTTCTCAGTGAGGGTAACAGAGCACTGGCCCAGGCTGCCCAGGGAGGTGGTGGAGTCTCCTTCTCCGGAGACATTCAAAACCCGCCTGGACGCCTTCCTGTGTGACATCGTCTGGGTGTTCCTGCTCCGGCGGGGGGATTGGACTAGATGAGCTTTCGAGTTCCCTTCCAGTCCCTGACATTCTGTGATTCTGTGATTCTTCCCCACTCTCCCCATACCCTTTTCAATTTACGAGTAATCACAGAAAAAACAAGAAGTGAAATGGAATCTGCACCAGTGCAGAGGTGCTGTCCGAACAAGGACTTCAGGCGCAATTTGCTCACCAGGTTAAATGTGTATCCGTTAGACATTTCTATCAAATCACACCCACAGGATCACACAGCAGAAACTAAGCTCACCTCCTTGCAACCTCACATCTTGCCACCTGTGGCAGACTTTATAACATCAAATGTAAACTGAAAGCCAAAGTCTACACAGTGTGACTTCTCGGGTTTGCCTCTGCTCATCTAAAAAACCATCAGATCACTATAAACTCTGCATAAAGCCTGCAAGTCTGCTGGGGCAGATGCTAGTCTAGAGAAACCCTTCCCCTCCCTCCCCAGGCTTTGCTCCAGAAAGGGTGTTATTCCTGTACAGCCATCAGCAGAGATAACTGCTCTGCTTCCAACGACTGTACCACTGGTCAAACGAGCACCTGACCTCGAGACAGCATTTTCCTTGGTGCCTTTTCTTTATTCTTGTCTTTTTCTTCTTTCTCCGCCCCATCTTTCATGGATTTTTCCTCTTCCTTGTCAGAGGGGCAGCTAACGTGCAACTGAATGATGTCCTGGAAGAAAACAAACCAGGCTGGTCTGAGTCACTCGGACACTCCCTGGAATCAGCACCACAGCTGGAGACGTTGGCAGCTGAGAAAGGCAGCACGGAAAGGCAGGGGAGTCAGGTCGCAGATCTGAGATACTTCATACGAGGCCCCATGCTGAGAGCAGAAAAAGTCGTTTCTCTCCCACCCTCTTCCCAGCGAGACGCCTTCGTAAGGCTCCAAGAGGACTCTCAACAGCATTGGTCACCCTGGTCTGGATGGCCTCAGAATCTGAATAACGTGCTTCCCCATTCAAAGCTGATAAAATCATTTTGCCCTTAGGAGTGCCTAAGGGATGTGTGGTGACTGTACACATACGAGCAGTCCTCACAGGCACGACTGCTTCCTTCGAAAGCAGCCTCTGGTGGGAAACTCTTGGCTCTCAGAGGCACAGACCTAGGGCAGGACATCACTTCTAGCAGGACACGGAATTTCTGGGCTTCCACACTCCACAGTTTGTCTCATTTTAGCCCTACCTGGGACTCCAGCAGCCCATCTACGAAGGGGCCAGACGATTCTTCACATACAGCCAAACTCCTGACCAGTTTAAGCTTTGAATTAGACTGAAAAAGGAAAAGAGAGGGTATAGTTAAGACACCTCACCCAAACTGTACAAACTTGTGTTCATGCTGCTGCATTATCAAGCCGCTCACGCAGTCAATCGTTAATTAAACTGCTAAAAAGGAGGACTACAAGCACTGTTCTGCAGCAGTGGTGTCCTGCTGCTTATTACTAGCAGAAGCTTTTGATTCACTCATGTGCACACGCCATCGTTACGGGAGCAAATGTGGCATTGCCTGAAGAAAAGGGGCCTTACGTGAAACCAGGCAGTGACACTTAACTCTGGTTTTCAGCTGGAGGGTGTAACAGATCAGTGCACTGCCCTGTCCCTCCAGTGACACCTTGGAATTTAATTTCTGGCATTTTAGGCCCTTGGGAGGGGACAGGTGAGGCAGTTTATAGCAGCAAGTAGCTCTTCCATGGGTGGAAGAGCTGGAGCATCCTGCCCCAGGGCTGGGACATTGCTGTCCCGAACCAGCATGTTGCTTCTGGAGACAGGAAAGCCTCGAGATTATCGTCCTGAGGTTGGGATCATGTCTCAGCTCAGAGCGGCCAAAGAAACAAGAGGACGTCAGGAAGGGTCATACCTTGGCTCTTTTTCTGGCATGTCCGTGACTTGAAGTTCGTCTCTGTGGAAAAAGGAAAAAGAAGGCAAGAAGTTTAACCTGAACACGTACACTGTAAAGGGTATTTGCTGTGCCAGGCAGCACATCACCGAGAGCGTAAAACGACTCTGAAGAAAATCTCACAGCAATGGAAGCACAGGCAAACGGGAAGGCCAAGCCCCAGGTGGGCACAGACTGCTCAGGAAACTTCATGTGGGTTGGACCTGGCTCCTGCTTCTGACAGAACTAGCACAGCTGCGGGATCACAGGGCATGATAGACTTTTAAGTGGGAAAACTGCAAGTTTTCTACCATTCCTGGGACACGAAGGGGGCTCTAGCGCAGTGGATCATGAGAAACACAGCACTGCTCTCACTTCAGAGACACCCAGTCACCTGTTTTCCCGACCTTCTAAGCAACCTCTCCCCATTCCACGTTCCAAGGGGACCAAAGTCAGGCTCTTTCTGAGCAACACGGGTGTCAGCCCACACAGGGGCTGAATAAATCTGGTGCCAGCCCCCATCTTTAAATGCAGATGCATTCAGCAGGTGGTTGCAGGGGGGCATGTCTTCAAGCTCAACACTAAGCCAAAAGCACATGTGACAGGAGAGAAGAACGGCCGGAATGAGTCCCATCACCCTCCAAGTGATGCCTGCGCGGATTATTTTTTCCTTGCTGAAATGAAATCCCAAATCACTGACTTCCTATCTGGGCATTTTAAACAGCAGCAAAGTAATGGCCAAGCACCATTCCTGAAACCAAATTCTCCTTGGGATGCCTTCACTTCACATGAAGTCATTAACTGATGGAAGAAATGAGTTAAGACAAAGGTAACAGCCACGGGACTAGAACTTGAAGACTGAGCACACCAGTCTCAAAGAATATTTCAATTATTCCACTCCGAGCAGAGCAGATCCAGCTAAGGAGAGCAGCCTGTGATATTTTCCTGGAAGGTGGCAGCGCAGCAACCAGCTCGTGCTTGCCCAGCAGGAGCAGACCCAGCTCCGCAAGCTGACAGAAGGGATCCGCTTGTCTGCACTTACCTGAGATTCCTGGCGCACGCTGACCTCCTCCCCGCCATCCTTCTCCACCTCCTCCTTGCTTGGTGATCTGGATACGTATTTGGTTTTGTTCACAGATTCCTCAACCGCTTTTTTTTCAGACTCCTTCATTATTTCCAGAGACTCTTGTGTTGTGTTGCTGTTTGACATCTTCAGAGCCCTACAACGTGGCAACGGGCACCTGTCAGGAGAGGTGACAGAATGGGTGGAAGGGAGTCACAGGGTGGAGTAAGTTCCTCTCCGGAGCACAAACTCTCGTATATATAGGTTGTAACTTCCTTGTAACTCATCTTGCGCGCAAAGACCCCAAACCAAGCACTCCTGGTGCATCCCTTTGGACGCAGCCTCTTTTAGCTTGAGGAGACCTTGCAGGAGCTCCAGGACTCTCACCAGGACTCTGGAGACACTGGCAGGGCTGAACAAAGCCTCTGAGATACACAGAGGTCCCTGGTGCAGGCTCTCCGCCCTCTGAACTTCTTTGACACAAGGGAGAGACTGACCGTAGCAAACATCCAGGGGCAGGGAATTCAGTGGGTAAAATAAACTCGAGCAACCGGAGGAGCTGTGCTCTGCCGCAGGACAAACCACAATAACAAATACGCTTTACTTTCCCCAAATCCTACCCCAGTCCTTCTCGCAATTAATCAAATCCTCAGTGAGAAAACAGCCTCGTAGCCAAGACATTGCTCTGGTTCTTCCTGTGAAATAAGGTCACCCCTGATATCTTCTCTCCCGCTGCCTAGGGTTAAGATACTTCAGGAAAAGCGGAAATCAAACAAAACCAGTCAAATTACAGGTTAAGACGAAAAATTAACGCTTCTAACAAAACTGAATTGCTTCCTTTTCGTTAGCAAGAACGCAGGCAGTCCACAGAGCCCCTGAAACCACCTCCAAATGAGCGCAGAAAGCAGACGGGGCAGCACCGTGTGCCTCAGCCTGCGGGCAGCCTTCAACAGGAGCAACGAACACGTCGCGTTTCCGCTCACCAAACCAAGCGGGATCTCCAAACCATCCAGAACCGGAACATCAGCCTTCTCAGCTAACTCAGACCTCTTTAAGTACGGGCGAGGGCTAAACCAGCTCACACAGGACCGTGGAGGGATCTGGATACCGAGAAACACGCCGGTAAAGACGCCGCCTGCGCAGAACGCGGAAGCCTAAATTTGAGAGATGCTCAAACAAGAGGTCTGGGCGCTGCAAAACACAGCTGATGTTTAACAACTTGCTTTATTAATTGCTTTGGCAAAACACAGCTGAAAAAAAGAGTCACATCTCACAGATTTATTGACTCTTGGCTCCGCGCGGGAAGTGCTCACACTCATTAACCGACCCAACCTCGCTCCCCTTCCACTTGTGGGGCTGCTGAACACAGAACGTGTGTCTGACTCGGTGCCGCTACTGGAATCGGTTCCAGAAAGTGAGAGGGCACAATCAACTGCTTTTGGTTTACGGATTCTTACAGGGATTTGTAAAAAACTTGTTAAGGCAGCCAGGGCAAAGGCCCTGCTGTGAACGGACACCAGCGTGTCACGGGGAAACCTCCAGGGCAGGGCTGCAGGCAGAGAAAGCACAGCTGGAGGATGGCACAGGGTGCTCAGTGACAAAAGCAGGACGCTACAGCCACCTCAGCTTTCCCTCACACCTACCACCACCAGTTCCAGGCTTATGACGAACCTTCCCGCAGCAGTAAGACTCACCGGTGTCAGTTCAGAGTCACAGAGGTGAGAAGCAGGAAAGGAAAAAGTCATTTAACCTTGATGAATAAGCGGCGCCTTGGGGCTGTGCGGGAAATACCCCCGTTGACTGCAGAAAATTCAAGAGGAAAGGGTGCACGGAAAGAAAAAAAAGCCGGCACAGGTGAAGGTGACAGGGCTGCGCCGTTTGGCTTTTGCACGTGAACCAGCGTGATTTCAGGCAGATGCATGAAACCACAGAGGAGAGACCGTGAATGCTGATACAGGCAAGCAGACCCATCCCAGCGCTGCACGAAAACAAGGTGCTTCTCACTAGAGAGAACTGCTGGGAGGTCGCAGCCACTGTTCACGTGCGTTCACCCCGGAGCAGGAAGGTGACAAGAAACCCACTGCTAATTCCATGAGTAACCTCCTTCGTAGCACGCCTGGAAGCGTCAGGACGAGGACACGGGGGCCAGGAGGCTCTTCCCACCCAGATGGTGATCCTGAACACAGCTCACCGGGTGGGGTCCCTGCGCCAGGCTCTGTCACGCAGCACCGAGCAGGCTGTCCCACA